AAAAAAAAAAAAATCCCTATTCCAACCTATCTTTTACAGCTTTATTTCCTTCAAAATGAAGCTGATTGTGCCTGAACAAATCCAAGTCCTACCCTCTACATGTTGGTACTTCGCCTATCCTTGTTTAGTCAGCCTCATATCTTAGTTTATGTATTGGAAAAAGAAGATGATCACTATTTTGAAACTGCTTAGACATCTTATTGAAAATTATAGTTTCAACTACCATTTATATCTAGTTTAATTGACATGGAGTAGATTGTGTGGAGTTCAAAATCTAATATTTTAATGAGAAGTATACCAAGAAACGGATCAAAATGTTAATTTCTGATAGCTTTGAGAATTTACAAGAAGAAGTTGGCCCAAATGTAGCTTTTGAGGTAATTTAATCCAATGTTTTGAAGTGAGTAATACGGAAGAGAACTATCTTCCATTTGATGTTAGTGGACTATAATCTATGCTACACTAAGAAGAATTACCTTTCTTTTCATGTTGATATGGAGTACTATAGCCTTTGTATACTCAAAATAATTCTCACTGAAACACTGATTCGTCATGTTAATCTGAGAAGTCATATTTGAAGATTAAAGTCCAGATAATGCCATTGGCTATTAAGTTACAGATGGTAGTGAAGTAATACAAGAGTTCTGAATGGTAATGCAAAGACACTCAGATTCCAGTTCATCGAATTTGCCAGGCGCCTTTTGAGACCATTTTATTTGGAAATAGCTAAGATGCAAGAGATAATGGTATAGAGTATGTGATCTTGGGTCACATTTTATGGTTCTGTGTTTCTTCTTCCCTCATTACCCAAAAGAAATTGGATTTTTCTCTGTTGCAAATGCAGTATATGAACCAACGGAGTATATGAACCAAGGGTTCAACTGAACCAAATAGTTTCAAAAGTCTAATGGGTTCAGTAGTTAAAACATGAAGGTTGAAACCATGAATCTTAAATCCTGGATCGACCTACTGCTTTCTTGGGTTTTTATCTTCTTTTAGTCTTGTGTACTGGAAAAACTGTTTTTATTGGCGCTTGTTTATGAACGAATGCCCATGTGGTAATGACGAAAATATATGTTGTACACATTTATCATCATAAGATGTGGCCTAGTGGTCAATGAAGTGGGTTGACAACCATGAGGTCCCAGGTTCAAATTCTAGCGGAGACAAACACACTAGGTGATTACCTCCTATCTGTCCAAGCCTTGGTAGACAGAGTAACCTGGTATTTGTTGCAGGTGAGAGGTAGCAGGTATCCCGTGGAATTAGTCGAGGTGCACGCAAGCTGGCCTCGACATCACTTATCAAAAAAAAAAATCATAAAGAGGAGATGATGCCTCTTTCTATGTCAATATTCACCTCATACTGATATATAAATGTTGGAAGAAACTTCTTAAAAAAATTCATTCTGGATGTAAGTGCAGAATCTGAATGTATACTGGATTGTTAGTTAGAGGTCACATATGTGGGCCAGCTCATTTAATTTACGGAAATGGCAAGTCATAGTGCTCAAATTGATGGAAATTTTTTTCCTCCCTTAGTGTTGTTTGGCATGTCTTCAGTTGTAAATGAAGTAGTCAAGCAAGGTTATAGCTCTCTCATAATGGTGTGGATACACACCTCTTCTAACAGATTCTTTTTCAGAGGACAAAACCATGAGGCAATGGGTCAAGATGTCCAGTTCTAAGAGACAATTTTTGTTGTGTGCCTTAATTTTTAGTGAGGCAAATCTACATTTTGGTTTAACATCTGAAACTGCCTGTTGGGAAGTATTTGTGCTGATTTTCCAGAATACTTCGGACTATTTCCCCACTAGATTTTGAGTTACAATGTAACCATGCATATAACGCATGTGACAATTGACGGCTAGTCAAGATGCTAACTTGATGATTGTAGGTTAAATGAACATTGGTGTGTATCTGAAGTCTGAACTTTCTGTTTATCGCTCTTACTGATTTTGAATGATTCTCTTCTTCAGTGATAAATATGATGTTCCTCTGGTCATTTCAGGCATTTAATGTTTTGCGGTATGAAATTGGCCAGAGATATCAGTCACATTATGATGCTTTTGATCCTGCTCAATATGGCCCTCAGAAGAGCCAAAGAGTAAGCATGAACAAAATTTTCAGTGGTGCTATTTTTTCTAAGTTGCTCGCTATTTTTCCTGTATCTCAATTGAAATCTTACACAAGAGGACCTTGTGGATTATAGAATACTTTATTGTTTGGTTATCCGGGCATAAGGATGCTGTGCTTCCATGTTACTCCCAAACACCTCCCCCCTCCCCAGAACCACAAATAAATTAGAAGAAAGAAGTTTGATGTGTTTGATTCAAGTATTGGGTTCTTATTTATATGGCACATGCTATTTGCATCACCCAAACTGCAGATGATGGTCCTCTGCTGTACTTTACTGAACTCTCTTGAGCATGTTAATGTTAGATGAGAAAATTGCAAACAAGATACATCTTTATCTCAGATTGGGCAAGTATTTCCCAAGACAGGGGGCAGTCCTTCTTGTCAGATTTTCATTTTCATTGAGTATCTTTTTAGTATATTTTGCAAGAAAAGGTATTAAAAGAAATGATTTGCATGATTTTAAGTCATGTAAACCACCATTCTTTGTACAATTTAAATCACTTCTAATGGTAGCTAAATTCTCTTCAATCTGATTATAGTTTTAGCATGAACCAAGGTGAGGATGATTGTTTTGGTGGCTTCTTATCTTGCCATGAATGTGACATCCTCTATATGCATTTTTCTTCTTTTCTTTGTGGAAAGATTCTGATCTTCTCTTCGATCCTTGGAACCATGAGGTGAAATGAAATGTGCCAAGCAAGTTTACAGGAACTGTACTACACTTTTAATCTTGAGATATCATTGGTCGAGAATTTGTTACTGGTAGTTAATTTTGAGGAATGATTACTTTCACTTGTCTGGACTAAAATTTCATTGATCTCGTCTAGGCCGCTTCCTTCTTATTATATTTATCTGATGTTGAAGAAGGTGGGGAAACTGTGTTCCCGTATGAGGTAAGATCAAGTACCTCTCCACTCTCTTTTGCTCTCTATTTCTACCCATCACTACCTTTCTTGTCTGCCTGGCTTGTAAAATGGTCCTTTGTGTTTATCTACAGAACGGGCAGAACATGGATGCTAGTTATGATTTTAGCAAGTGTATTGGTTTGAAAGTGAAGCCACGCAGAGGGGATGGACTTCTATTCTACTCACTGTTTCCAAATGGTACAATTGATCTGGTGAGTTATTCTAGTGAATTCGGTTACCCTGCATTTTCTGTTTTGTTCATCACAATGTTTTTTGGTATAAGAATCAATAATATATAAACAGGAGTAATCAGTCAGCTAACAAATTGTTTCAAGGAGCTGATCTGCGATAGGTTAGCTGGAATACAAGGCAAACTCCGTGCCATCTGTAGCTGCTAGATTGGAGATCTGCCACAATATATAATCCCAGATTAAAAGCTGTGATTCTTGCAGAGTGGTTTAAAGTGTTAGGAATTGCTAATCCTAGAAAAACCTTTGAGTTGCCCAAAAACATGTTTAAGATTTAGCTCTAAATGATGATGTGGCTTAAACATGCTCAATTAATCATAAGAATCATGATGCTATGAGGATGTTTGTCTAAAAGGATTAGTGTGATACTGCTTGAATTATTTGTATAAAGTGGTTATACACTGCAACAGGAGTCTATATTGAAAATATCAGAACAAATTTGTACAATCAGACCCATCGCATGGAAGCTGATTGGAGAGATTATAGTATATCGTAGCTTCATGACTCTTTTCATTTTCATTTGCTGCTATATTAGTTTGTTCAATGCAACAATTAGAATAGGCTCTTCGTCTTTCTTTTACTTCTTCCATTTCCAGTGATTTTAATTCACAGTACATAAATTACCAAAGGAGGGCATGACAAACACAATGTAATAATGCATTTTGATTTCAAGCATGGCCTTATTAACTTTCTAATTTTCACATTTGCTTGAATTCTAATGCAGACCTCACTTCATGGTAGCTGTCCAGTAATCAGAGGAGAAAAATGGGTGGCCACCAAGTGGATCAGGAATCAAGATCAGGATGATTAAACGCCTGGTACATTGTAGTATTGTTCATCAGTTATTTTTTAACTTAACAGACTGAAAAAAAACAAAGTTTTGGAGTAAATAGATTTAAAGAATGAACAACACGGAGCTTTGTCCAAACAAACTTGGGGCTTTGTCTTTTGGAGTAAATAGTGTAACTTGCTTGATTGCAGGCCGCTAAAATCAGCACCACACTTTGAAAGAAATGAAAAAATGAAAGCAATAAAAAGGAAGCAGATATATAATATATTTCTGGAAAATAAGATCCAATGAGTACGAAGTAACTGATGAGCTGAAAGGTAGTCATAAAGAATGAATTCTGGTTAGGCCATTGATAGTCTTAAATTAAATTACATGGTATTGATATCCTATAATCACATTAAAGCATTTTAAGTGTTATCTAGTTATGTTAATATTTTTTGACTAATTTGACCCACTACAAGTATCCACCAGATCAGCTCAGGTTACTAACATATATAGAATGCAGAAACTTATATTTTAAGTGATCTAATTGTATAAATATTTACATATTAAACCGATTAAAGACGATTCAATAGACTGAAGTTGAGCAATATTCGTATTTACATTTTAGAAAGATTCCATGGGAATGGGTAAACACCACACATTGACATTAACTAGATAGGTAGGTAGCACAATACGAAAACCAATTGTTCATCGCAAAATCAAATAAAGCAAAAACCCTCATCTTGACCAGTCCTCAAACAACCCAAATAATTAAAGAAAAACGACAACAATCTTCTAAAGATTTAAGGAGTGATGTCATTCTTATATTTACATGTTCGGTTGGACTTGTCACGATCAGTGTTTTGGATAGCGTGCGGCGACAAATAGCGACGAGGGCCCGCTTCACTGAGGCGAGAGGCGCGCAGCGAAGCGCTCGCCTTTTTGATGTGAAGCGACAATTTATACAAAAACATAAAATATTATATACATATAACTAAAAACTCAATAACAATAATATATTAATAAATATATCATTCAAAAATTAAAGACTCAATAGATAGTCATAGACTCATAGTAGATTCATAAACTAAAGTCTAATAGTCTAAAACAAGCAACGTCTATTCTTCTTCAAGATTTTCAAATTCTACAACTTCATGAATGTTAGCATTATATTGGCTATCATCTTCTTCATCCTCGGAGTTTTCATCAATTAGGGACCGGCTTGAACTTGCTACTCCCTTTCCCTTGTAACTTGAAGAACTCCCTCTAAGACCATAGATATTCTCCTCAACTCCAACCGCCATAGAAACAGTACCCCAATCAAGATCATCTCCTTCATACACTTGTTCATCTTCATGATTTTGGGGGGCTCCAGTTAACCATTCATTTGCCTCGTCAATGTTGTCCAACAAAATTGGATCAATGGTATCGCGAGCTTCATAACGTCGCCTCAATGTTCTATTGTATTTAATATACACTAGATCATTGAGACGCTATAGCTCAAGCCTATTCCTTTTCTTGGAGTGAATCTGCGCATAAGTTGTTTAGATTAATTAATCGATACTAATAATAATACAATATAAAATATATTAATATAATAAATCTACTTCTTACATGCTCAAATACGCTCCAATTTCTCTCGCATCCAGATGCACTACAAGTTAGGCTTAGTACTTTGATGGCAAACTTTTGCAAGTTTGGAGTTTGATGTCCAAATTGCTTCCACCATTCAACTATAGAAAAATATTTTAAAAGTTAATAAGTATAAATCAAATAAATTAATTTAAAGTTATAAGGATATCTATATTAAAGTTAGTTACCTGGCGACCTTATGTCTCTGGCTCTAATGGCCGCTTGTAAACCAAATAGGCCCTCTGCTTGTGAGTACCTACCAAACTCCTCCCCTATTTGATCTATCGTCGCTGAATTAGGGACCAACTTCTCAAGACATGCATGGTATCCAATCCACACCTCTGAAGCCAAAGTTTCATCTCTAGTGTTCTTGTAAAATAATCCCGGGTTCAGAAGATGGCCTGCTGCATGCAAAGGTCGATGGAGTTGATTCTCCCACCTGATATCAATTATCTCAAAAACTTTCTCATATTTTCTAACATCTCCCTCAAATGACGCTGCAATAGTCTCTTTGGCTCTATCCATAGCCTCATAAAGATAGCCCATTGGTGGTTTTCTCTCCCCATCCACCATACGAAGTACCTTAATCAAAGGACCACCAACTTTAAGAGCCCGAACGACGTCATTCCAGAATGATGGAGAAATAAGAA